AAAAAAAAAAAAAAAAAAAAAAAAAAAAAAAAAAAACGCATACGAGTTCAAATAATTCTGATGCATAAACGAAATTACCGTCAGGGATTTCTAAAACAGGTACCATCCAACTAGAATGCGTAAAGATTTTTCAAGTATTAAGCCTAATACAGCCTGAACAAGCCAGTAATCTAAGTAGCTTCTCAAATTCCAAAAAATATTGTGCAAACAACTCAAAGCAACAAAAAACTGGAGGTTGAAATTTCTAAAAATGATATTTTCGGGATGCAACAATTCTTATAAGAAACTTTACATTAAACAGTTAAAACCTTGCGCTGTGGTAAGACAACTAAATGTCCTTTATATAACTTTTTATAGAACAAAAGAAAAACTCTTTACATTAAACAGTTAAAGCCTTGCGCTGTGGTAAGACAACTAAATGTCCTTTATATAACTTTTTATGAAACAAAACAAAAACTCTGAATAAAAAGTTATAGTTTCACAAAAAAAAAATTTTTTTTATTAAAGATTTAAAACCAAAACCTGAAAAATAATGAACTTCGTTCCCTTCGAACATAGTTGTTTTAGTGGGACAGTTAAAACGAACGTATCTTGCAATTGCATCTTCCTTTTTTGTAAGTTTCTGAGTATCCTAAAGATATTCAAGATTGGTGTTACGAAAACTCTGAGCTGTTTATCTTAATTTAAAAAAATGCATGAAACTAAATGGTCGCTTTAGCCTTATGCGAAGAAATTACAAGTTCAGAATTGTCAGGTCAGAAGCTCCTAAAGATGGTCGAGAAACGTCAAACGAAAAACAATGAATAAAAATGCTTTCAAAATCATATTTCGTAACAAAGAAGAATCTTGCACAAAAGTTATGAATACTTTGTTCCAAGTGGAATAAAAGCGAACAATCAAACAAGTCAATTCGATAAACTAATAACACCAAACTAACCTCTTCTGATTTCCGCCGTCCACCACGCCGTTTTTCAGTCATTGTGGTGACCGCCTCTAAATGAACAAATACGAAACTAGCATTTTATGAAAGCAGATTAATAAGTAACGACAAGAATTATCTTCAAGAACATTAAAACTTCAAATAATAGCTCAAAGATCAGATTTTACAATATCTCTCAATTACATATCAAGGGAACTTCCAACCCAAGTTTACAATAAAAATAGTTTGCGAAGTAAACCAGGAAACAAAACAATAGAAAACCCATTACAAAGTTCATTACGAACAAAACTATAAAAATTTGCGAGATAACTGAAATCACTAATAAGCAAAACAAAAGATGCCTGCTAGAAAGACAGTGTGTCCAGAGGTTGAGAAGTGTCAAACATTTGTTGAAAAGGAAACCTAAAAAAGTGAAGTCTCAAAATCTCTACCCTCTCTTTTCCAAACCGCCTGCATTTGGGAAGAAACAATCCATAACAGCGTGCATAATTCTTCAAGAGAAGTGCAAAAGTGAAAAATGTACCAGTAATTGTAAGATAGAACCCAATGGACGTTTTTAACAAGGATATTATTTCTAATGTAATATAAAAATATTCGCCTTTCTAAGCGTATTTGATTCAGGATCCTCAAAAACCTCCAAACTGATATAAACGATCACCATATATTATGTTCCAGAAAACAAATGAGAGCCAAAACTAAGCCCATAAGGGTCAGAACTTTTACGACAACACAAAGGAAGTACCTTATGTAACACACAATAGAAATATGAAACTAACACAGTCGCGAATCAAACTTTCAGGCTTATGCACCATACGAATTGAAAAGGCAAACACAAAAGAAAAGGCCTCTACCCTTTGCAAAAGTACAAGAAGAAAATAGAATAAAAGAAAGAAAACTGTGAAATGTAACCTGGAGAAAAATCAACCAGATAAAAGTAAAAATATGATTACCAACAAACCAAAAAGACAAACGAGGACATAGTTAAACCGTTTCCAAACACTTTTCCCAGATAATCGGATATTTTAGTGGTTTGTTTTGAAACCATGAAGAGAAAAAGACGAAAATAATTTGTAGAAAGATGGCAGCTGTAGGAATAAATTAATTTGTAAAGGGCATAAAAGTGTTACCGTTAAATAACCAATACGTAAAATCTGCCAACAAGGAGCAATAAAACAATAATTCACAAAGAAATTCAAGGCTACAATAAACGACAACTACTAAAATGAAATTGGGAAAAGAGACGGAGGAAAAAAAAGAATAGAAAAAATCTTAGTATGGGAAAAAAAAAGTAACAGAGAAGCCAACATAAAAACTAAAGATTCACATACGGACTGGTGTAAAAATGACTCAAATGATTCTGGACCATTCATATCAAAACGATCATAATAAACAGATAAATTGAATATAATAATATGTTTAAATTTATACTAATATATTTATACAAATATTCATACCATTAAAATAGCAGCTGCCGAATGAGAACATACTAAGTATAACTATTTTCAGAGTTTATAAGCCTTCTTCCAAGTGCCAGCAGCAATGGCAGCTATTGCCAACTACACCACAGCTGCGCCTAGAAGACCTGATAGAGCACAGCGCGAACAAACAACAAACTTCATAACGTCGGCCCTCAATCTTTCATATGTACAGTATAAAAATATATACATATCAACAGACTGTTTCAGCGAAAAATGTATCGTTGTACTAATTCTGCCGGTGGCAATGGTAAGGCACAGTTGGCAAAATTCCAAGATATTAAGTAATCTATAGCCTGAACCTTCGTTGTTATACGCTCTCGAAAGCCGATTTAACAGTCATCAGGCAAGCTCGCATTATAAAACCTTAGAACGACCTGGTTTTTCGTATGATTTATTTGTTTGAATAAATGCAGATGTGGCTTACTTGTAACCTCCTAGCTTTCTGCTGAATAATTGTTCTTCCCACTTTATAGACGGTTTTATACATCGTTTCCCAGAAAAACTTCATCATCTTGTTTTATTTTGTTGCACCTATTCTTCATTCATTCTTTTAACTAAAGTATTTACAGTTTTTTTTGTTTCTTTGAAAATTTGCTCTCTGTTCCCTACTTAAGCCTGGGTCTGCTTTTGGGAAAGTCTTTATTTACAGTGATGTCCTTTAAACTTAGTTGCTGGATCACTGAAGGCTGCCTATTATGTCTTTCAAAAATTCTGCCGTGTTGGTAGCACAAAAACGTGAATAAAAAACCATTGACTGTTGAAGCAAAGAAAAAAAAAACAAGAGGGGTTTTTCCTAGAGAAAAAAATGGAGATACCAAGTGAAAGAGCCTTAAGGACAGACACCGAGAAGCGGCGCATAGTGTTCAAGTTCATCAGAGTTGCAGAGGATTTCTGAAAAATGATATAACTGTAACTGTTTGAATCTAGATAATGGTTTATCTCCTAACGTCTTCGTCCAGTAGCGAACTGAGTTAAACCGCATAAGATCTTGACACTAAGGAAAATATTAGCCGGTGCAGCAACAGAATGAAATCATACAGAATAGTGTAACCGTTAAAAAAAATTTAAAGACTTTGAAAAGTAATAGCTGGGATATTCTTGATTGCTAGATGAGTAGGAGTTTTTTATAACAACTAAAGAGACGGTTTTGACAAATTATAGTTCAAACAGGGGTTGGAACTTGAAATCTCTGCTTCTGCCAGCAGTAAGTATTACTATCGGTTCCTTCCAGTGAATTGCATATGAACAACTGCACTTTAATCTGATGGCTGTATAACAGTTGGTCACCAGATCGCGAAACGCCAAATTAAAACTTCGTCAATTTTCTCATATTTACAACTTTGAATATTATTTATAGGACTTTTCTCTTACTTTTCTCTTTGGTTATTTTGAATTTTTTCACATCGTCAATTGTTACACGAAAAAGTTTCATAAAAGTTTTAGTTAGACATTTAAAATCTCTTTACAGCGTTTTTACTCCCCTTCCGTTATCATTTCATTAAGTCTTGGAATTTTTGCTTTTTCTCCATAATCATACAACATTTATCTTCTTGTCGCTGCTTTATATTTCAAGTTTAATGGATTTTATGGACAATAAATAGTTGGTCGGTTTTTTAGGGAAGAATACAGTGTATGTAATTGTTCACTATAAGAATGAATCTTGGAAAGGAGTTCATTTGCTGTGTACTGTGTCCGATGAAAAGCTGTTAACTGAGTGACAAAAATTAATACATAATTTTTAAAGTTTCTTCTTTGTTTACCGGAACCGTCCAACTTTCACTGGAAATATCGAAGGTGGATAACAGTGCTTTTAGAAATGGTAAGGAAGCGGACAAAAATATGAAATTTGTTATTACCGGAAGCTTCCCTTAGCTGGTTTAAAACACTGATTTGATAGGTCTTGCAACGTAAATTCTTGAATTCTCAGCGAACATGTAAGCGACAGTACTGTCATATATTTTTTTGAATTCGTTGACGAGTCGTTCTCTTCTTTTCCCCACTTTTACTTTTCATTTTCTATCTTAAATATTGGCAGTTTTTGTTTACTGACAGTTGTAGGACCAACCTGTGACGCTACTTTATAGTTGTTTCTACGTTGACAACTCGACAGGCACACCATTATACAGTTAAACTCCGTTTCTATTGATGTTGTTGTTTCTTTTTTCTTTTCATTTTTTTCATTGATAACAACTGACGATAATTGTAACTGATCCTTTGCGGTAAAAAGTATCGACATTTTCTGACAGTATGGCATTGGGATTAGTTGAGGTAAAAAAATTTTCAAATTGTTTTTCTGTTGTTATTATTGCTGAACGATCATTGACAGTTATATGCTGTAAAAGTTTTACGTTATTAATGTTTTTTGCTCATCACACTTTTGCTGTGCATTTTCTTCACGATACCTTTTGTTTTTTCTTGATGAAGGTTGTTGTTTCATAAAACTTTTGTGATTCAATATTTTTTACTTTTCATTTTCTTAGTACCAACACCGTTGAGCTATAAAAAATGCTGGCATTTATCCAAATCGTCTTTAACTGATCTCAATTTGCACGCAGAATCAATAAGTTACTTTAATTTTTACTTGTATTATTTACCGAAATAAATTGAAACAAATAGCTTTTCGTTGCTGCAATTACAGAAGTACTTTAAAAAGATGTTCTCATACCTTCTTCATGTGTGTCATTGTCAGGAATACTTTAACGTATTGCTTGCACACTTTCGTTACTTTTTATCTAGTATTGGAAATTCAGGTACCAGAATCTTTTGGGCAGTGCGCTTCCAGTTGGTACTTAGTCTTTCAGATCTCGAAATTTAAGCAAATGTGAATAGAACCGATGATGAACTTAGGAATTGATCGGTCTTTTTAAAGTGGTTACATAACTGCGTTGGTCAAAATCAAACAGTTTTTTTTCTTCGATGAATTTTTTTTGTGAAATTTTAATTTGTTTTGCTAGAAAAGTCGGGAAAAGTTAGTATTTGTACACTGTTAAAAAGAAACATTTTTTTCCAGTGAAAATGAAACTCGTGATAGATTTTTGAAGTCGATTTTCTTGTACAGTAAATCACAAAACTACAACCATTTTTTTTGCATTTCCTAAACCGAGTCAGTAAGTGTTAAGTCTTCTTTTGGAATTTACCTGATTTGAAATTTTTTTCAGTGGCCGATCAATTAATTTTTCAGTTGATAGAATTCACAAGTGGCTTATTCCGGTTTTTTCCGTTTTTTTAACCATAATTTGTACTTTATAATTCATCGCTTTGTGGTTTATGAAGACTTTGTGAGGACCTGGTGGAGAACAGTGTCTTGAAGGCTGAAGAGTATTAAATGAAGGTTAGTAAGTGGCTGGGCCTATTGTAATCCTGTCGATAACCTTCTGAGTTTTATTTGCTGTTTTTTAAAAGAAAGAAAAAAAGCTGTTTTAGGTTATATTTTCGCGAAAAAGTTGCTTTTTAATTTTTTTGCGCTTCAATTGGTAAACGATTTTGCTCTGCCGATTAGGATTAGAAGATATAGTTACCTGAAGTTTTGGTCTCAGGGTCAATTCATACTGCCTCTTTTTCTCTTGCAATATCAAGAAAGAACTTCTGAAGTATATCTTGAAACAGAGGAGGAGTTGAAAATATGTGGGAACTAGATTGCCTCGATGAAGGTACTGTGGAGATTGTTAAATGATCGGGCCTGCCAAATATTAGCTTTTTAATTTAACTGTGTGTAATCGTCATGTTAATCAAGGCTTTTACTGTTGGGTAAACTGGAGATTATTAGAGCTTATAAATCATGAAGGAAGTAGACCCTACTCTGAAGAGCGATGCAGCTGAAGGTTATCTCATTGTAAGGAACAGTTATTACATAAGATTAATTATAATCTGCTTTATAAATTGTGCTAAGTGAAAACTGCAAAGTAAATAGCTACAACTGTGACTAAATTACATTTAGACTATTTTTTACCTGTTTGATCGTTTGATTCATTTATGGAAACGAACGTCATTCAAAAGCAGGCCGTTTGAGCTTCAATTATAACACTTTATTTTATTATTGTTTAAGGTTTATGGTAGAGTTTTGCCTGTAATACGTGCTCCTCTCAGTTCGTTTTGATTAGTGGTTACTTTCATTGGTTATGGGTGCTGCACAGAGCCATGCAGATGCGTCTGAAGCTTCGTCTCCGGTTAAGGTTGTGTAATTTTTGACCCTTTTTTTGCAGCAATGTGGCAGTTCTTTTCTGTGAGTTTTGTCAATATTTTGCTTAATAGATTCACGAAGTAATGAGAGCAAATTTAGCAGAAACGTTAGGAATATAGAAGAGAAAAGAATGATTATTGTTTATCTGATATATACTCCTTTCCTGTTCTTCGCAGTTCACTAGCTGCTCCAGAGAAAAATGTTTTGTTTTTGCAAAAGAAAAGTTACAAAATCTTGTGTTCCTTGTTGATTCCGTGTTGCACTGAAGTATGATTTTACGGTTTTTTATTTTTTTAACTTTACTAGTCTTAATTTTTAATTAACTTTTCATAGTATTATGCATATATGATACATATACGTATATAATTGTATATTCAAAACTTATTCATGCCTTAGTTTGTTGGGGAAATTGGAAGTTGAACTTATTATTTATTGAGCTCTGTTGAATGTAGTTGTTTGGTTCATTGTTATAGCTAGATTGCTCTTCTAGACAGTTCGTATAGAGAAGGATGAAATTCCGGAAGAATTTAGAAATGTTGGTGTTTCCAATGAAGTCGTTGATCGTGTACTGAGTAGAAACAACAATTCCGCTGAGTTTAGCGCTCTCAAGTTGGTGCATTGAAGTCTCAAAGCCATTTACCGATTAGTAATAAATAAAGAAAGTTTCCACTGTGCCGTTGTATCAGTCAGGCTGCTTGCAGCTTGAAATGATATCAGATCTCTTTTATCTCACTCTTAAACACCTTAAAAACCCTAAAAACCTAAGGATTTTCAGGGCAGAATTGTATGAAGCGCGAAGACGCAATGAGGAGCTGATAACTGAGCTTCGGAAGTCGAATGACAAAGATATGCCTTTTCATATTGGTTAGATTTTTTACGCCGAAATGAATTTTAAATGATGTTTCTTCGCAGATGCAAAGTTATTAATTCTTTTTTCCGGAAACGTTTAGATTTCTTTCGTCTTCTCAAGTTGTAATTTTTCTGCAGCTGGCGGTATATCACTGGAAGATCTCGAAAATCGCAGGCAGGCACTTAACGAAGCAATTAGTCGTGTAGAAAAACAGTTTTGTTCTTTCCAGAGGGAAAATGTTTGCGAATCTCAGGAAAAGGTGCTTAAGTTCTTTTGTTAGGAGTACTTTTTGCCCTCAGAATTACTTTTTAAACTTTATTTTTTGTTTTTGGTTTTCACTTAATATTACTTTCATTTAATGGGAAACTAAGCCTGATCAGTTGTAGGAGATAATGCAGTGCATAGTTAATAACAAAGATCGGGTTTTAAATTGCCTTCCACTACTGGACAGTTACCAGGACTGTGTTACCAACTTCCGAAAGGCAGTTTTGAGTGAAAAGAGTATTTAACTTGTCAGAAATACTCTAGACGTTATGTGTTATCAAGGCTCAGTAGGTATACTGTATGTAGTATTTAGTTATAGATTCTTGACGAATTTATTTTGTGGTAAATTGACAGAAGAGTTTTTGTTGATTTTTGTTGTTTTTTGCTCATTGAAATTTTGTGGAGGAAGTTTTCATCACTTCCATCGTGTAGATCTGGTTTAATTTCGTTTCTCTGTACATGGAGAGCGTTCATATCCCATGGTATTTATATGTTTTGTGATAAAACGTTCGGAAGCTAGTCAGCCTGAAGTCTGAAGGATGCAGAAACTGGACCTTTTTACTTTATTTGCTATTTCTGTCTGCACTTGTCTAGTTTCTTCCACGGCATTCTTCATAGATCACGACATCTTAATTACGTTTCAGGACTGTTATTGTGGTTGGTGAGAAAATAGAAGATTAGAAGATACAATTCATCTTTTTCTTCCAAATCTTCAACATTCTGGCTTAAAATGGTTTCACGTTTCAATAATTCTTCTTACTATTACTAAGTATATTTTTTCGAACACAAATGATGACGGAGCACCTCGAAATTCACTACTTGATTTATCGGCCCCTCTCCATTCAGAGAGCATTGGCCAGGGTTGTTTGCCATCAATTTTTCCTTGTTTTTAACATCGAGAATGTGGATAAACTGCAGATACTTGCAGTTTTTTATTGAAAAGTTGAGGAATTTGTTTATTTTTTATATTTGATAGCTTGAGTGTTACCACTGCTGAAGACTGTTTATTGACAAAAAAAAAAAAGGCAGATGGGAAGTTTGTAAACAAGGAAGCGAATGTCCTTTGGTTTTGCTTGTCGAGTTGGAAGTTTCATGAATGAAATAATAGGAATTTCCGACGACGAGGGTTGCTTGAATCGGCTGAGAGCTACAGAGCGTGGAATACAGGTTGGATGAATAGGAGTACCCATTAGAACTACTAAGACCAGAGTTGAGAGCTTGGCGCCAGTTAGGTATATGGGGCAAAAAGTGGAGTTGCAGTGCTGTAGGAGAGGTACGTTCTTTTTGTTCAGACCTGGTACTAGAAAAATGGCCTGTGATGCCTAGTGTTATTAAGTGTTCAATAAATGTGCGTGCAAATACCCTAGGCTTTAGGGAAACCTCTCTACGGTCCCCTGCTGGTTTGTCTAAATCACGAAGTGAAAATAACGTTTGAGGATTGAACAGATTAAAGGTAGGGGCTAGATGTTTTAAAAACACCAACAAAAATCTGCGATACAAAACGGGCTTCTCTCTTGAAACAGGAAATTGAGTTGCATGTCAAGAAAGTAAGGTTTCTAAGAGAAGCTTTTCAAAGATTTCGGCGTGAAGCTTTCCTGCCAAACTAGTAGTTTGCTGATGATTATATGGCCGAATAGTTCCTTTAGTAAACCGCTGTGAGGAGACAACATCCAGGCCATCACGTTATTGAGTTCCCCACGTGAATGCGCAGGAAGTCTCTCCCAAGCCAACCGTGCTAGCCAAGGCATGACACAATTTCTCAATGCTCTTTGAGGTAGGTTTTAAGAAGTTCACAATATTTTTGACTACTTGGTTGTACAGGTCACCACAGACTGCCCATAGTTCATTATCGAAGTCTTCAAATACAGTGGAAAACACCCAAAAAAGTTTTTTTATAGGTGGCAGCAGAAAGGAAGTGATTTGAGAAGAAATTTGCAATCACAGAATCCATTAGTGGTCAATTGGTATTAGTTTTGATAGCCGTTATGAAAACCTTAGAACTGAAAAGGATGAGTGCAGTACAGGTTAAGTTCCATTTAAATTCTTATCTTTAGACTGTCTTACTCCTCTGTTTGAAAATAGACAGGAGATGCCGAGTTTTTGCAGAAAACTTATTGTTTGAGCGCGGTTACAACACTCAGTTGCCTTTCAATCATTAAAGTGACCTGGTACAAACTATGGTACTTTGCGATAAAGATTTTTGAAAAACTTTAAGGAATTCAGTAAATTACAGACGGGAAAAGAAATCCTGTAAAAGAATAAGAAAATTGATAAAATGCTTATGAGGATATCAAGGTCAAGGGTAGCTCATATCAGTTCAGTTTAATTAGCTACACTAATCAAATATAACTAGTACTAGAGTGGCATGGTCAAAACTTTAGAGAGAAAAACTAATAGAGGCAGTCGTAGTACGATTTTACCTTTAAAGCAAAGAGCATCACAAACGCGGTGAAATGTAGTGCTTTCGGACGGAATTGTACAAATTGTCCCTCTCTTAAATTACAAAAATGCTTCGCATGTCCCCTACCGACAGTGGAGAGTGCACATTATTACAATGGCTGCAAATCGGCCAGTCGAAAGATGGAAAGTTGGAGACCATGCATCATGCCATGAAGCACTACTTTCCTCATAGTAACTGGAACTCAGACCCTTCGCGAACTTTGAAACTGCATACTTTATAAGTACTTGAAGATCAGCGGACGACGTTAGCAGCGAATTCTCTCTTGCTAAGCTGTTTGTTTTCATGCAGCCCTTAGGCATTTTCGCTACTTGTCGTAAACTGGTATGAAGTAAGGTTTGTTATACTATTTATATTCCAGTTCCATGTCTCTACATCTTTCATAGCTGAAATGTATGGTGATTCAATATTCTTCACTAAGTAAAAACATTACAAAAACTTTGAAATAATTAAAAAATACAAAAAAAGATGAGTAGACAACATAACAAGAAAAAAACAGAGACAGTTTGGTGTGCAGAAAAACGCTTCATACCGTTTTCCAGATAGGCCAATGTTCTAAGCGTCATTTACAAACATAAACTACAGAAAATTAGAAACGTCAATTCACTAGTAAAACGGAAGGAACCTGTCAAAATTTTAACCTCAGACATATCAAAAACGCATTCAACCAAAACAATAATTTACCGTACTGGAAAGGTGAACATTCGCTTGAAGAAGCTGTCCAGATACGAAACGTTTGAGAGGATTTTTAGCTGACATCAAACTTCTTTTGTTCTCCAAAAAACGTCAAGATAAATAAATTTCCAAAGTATTTACATATTGAGTACGGAATATGCGAATTTTCGCAACCAGATAAACAAAACAAACGGCAAATCCCAGCAGTAAAAAAGGAAATGAAAAGCAACCTTTCACCAATCAACATGATGGTCTACGTGCCATTCAGATCCTGGATCTTCTCTTGCCTGCTCAGCAGTTGTTTTTTGCAAAAAAGCGCTCTTCTCCTCTCGCATGCAGTGTAGAGACGTATTATCCAAGCCTTTGCGGTCGCTAAGACAATTCTGAAATCGCACATTAACTACAGTCCATTATTACGAAGCACCATTCAGAAAAGGCAATGAATAAAACCAAAATGAAGCAATTATTGAAAAATTTCAACAAGAACTGCGCTAGTTTACAAAACACCTAAATCAAGCATAAAATAGCAGTGTTTTCATACCTAAAATGTACAATAACCCAGTATACGGACTGCCAAGAAAATTTTTCCCTACTACAGAGAGAACTATGACATCCCCCTCACTGACATCAAACAAAATAACTTTTTTGTTCATATACCTGTTCGTTACTGCTGTTAACTTCAACTACGGAATCAACCATACACTTTACAGCGTCAGCGATGTCCTGCTCTACCTAAAACAGCCTAAGAAGAACCTTAAAAAGATTTCAAACACAAGGTTGCAAAGACAGTTTACAACTCTTAAATAGTCTAGCGCGTCACGAATTTTGTGAGAAATTCTAACTACGCACACTTGGACCTTGGAATTTAAAACCCACAAGTTCTTCTTCTCTTCCACATATTTAATAATATGGAAGGCACAGAGGAACACCATTAATAAACTGTATATAAGCGATTTAGTGAAGTACAGTCCCTCCGCATCGCACCCCACACACGACTAAGGGCTGAAGCTCAGTTATCTTCTGCCAAACTATGGTGCTAAATCACTTCCCAAATACTTAACTTTGGATCAAATATACGTAGATTCCTGCT